ATAAAATTAACTGGACACGTTCCCCTCGCGATTTTCAATTCCTCGGCTCGCTGTGCTGCTTCATCAGCGAGATGATCCTCTTACGATCGCCCACGCGAGTCGAACCGGCTTGGATCGGATCATTTCGTAAGTCTTTTGCTTCCCCATTTTACGAAAGTGAATCTTGTAGGAAGAAAAACTGGTCAAGTTATGCAGATATCGTAGGTCATTTATGCAATGAACGCCATTTTGCATAAATTACTATTGTTTATCTCGCAGTCGTCAAATTTCGATCAATGCAGACCGATTTTGTGTTGGTCATTTTGGTTTAGTAGTTATCGCTATTGTATTTATATGTGTTTATTTAATTCCTGATTTATATATTCAATTGATGTTATAATAATTACGTGATCAATATTTTTAGTCATTTATTTATGTAATTATATGAATATGTAACTATGATATCTGTAGCTGATATTTTAAGATTCACCTTAGGGAAAAAAGAGAATTTACTTTACCATTTTTAAATAAGAAACAGTAAAGTGAGTGAGTTTCTTGAATCCTTGATAATTTAGTTTCTTGAATGTCAGAAGAATTAGCGATAAAGTGATAAACTGAGGTCGATGAACTATATTCGCGTGGAACATTACAAAGTTTAATAATCGAGTGATGTCTGATGATTGGCAGATAAAAGGTAGATCTGAATCACTTCCGATCCATGATAAAATTTCCAGAAATCAACGAAACGGGATCGATACTTTTATTACTTGAAAATAAGTTCCACTATTTAAATTGCAGCAACGTTATTTAGCTTAATATGACACTTTAATCATTTAGCAAAAACATTTGAGAACTAATTCGATTGTACCTAAACATAGCACTTTACTAATTTATTTGAAAATACCTATAAACTACGAACGTATAGTCGAACGTGATATAACCATGAAATCATAAATAAATATATCAAACATTAGCAAAATATTAGGTCATCGAATAAATAAATTCTGTTATTGTACAACGTAATACACATTACACTATTGGTATCAGATTTAATAACAAATTAGTCTCAAAATAAAATCTCATTATCAAAAGTGGAAGATACAAAGCAGATATGACAAATTGTACTCAAAATAAAATCACATTGCTAAAAGTAGAAAATATAAATCAAATACTACAAATTGGTCCCAAAACAAAATCACAAATCAATTACTATTAATATTGAAAACACACAAAGCAAATACTTTCTTAAAATAAATCCCAAAAATCTGAAGACGAAATCATGAATCAAAACTGAAAAATATAAAACGAAATCCTCGAGTCCCAAGACTCGATCTCCCCGGTCGAACTCCCAAAAGAAAAAACGAGGAAGAAAAAGAGCCGATCGATGACTCAGAATCGTAGTTTTCCTTCGGCGAACGAATAAGCCTGACGGTGTGCCGTTCGCACACGTGGCCGGGCAATCCTGTTACGAGGGCGTCGAGGAAGGAGCGTCCATTCACGCGTGACACACGCGCACGCGGATAGTACGAGGCTCTACGCTCGCCGTTCATTCATAAAAATCCCGAGGCTTCCGGGAAGCCGCCGATGATGCTCACCAAGATTACGAGATTCGTAAGACGCGGAACTGTGTTCTCCTTTTTTATTGAATCATTGATTTGAATCATTGACATCGGTAAAGCTTCGCCGCTGACGAAATTTGCGTGGAAGAACAGGGTTTTACCACATGGCTTTCGAGGAAATTATTGGTTCATTGGGGATAATCGTACACTGAATTTCGTGGATTATTATCTTTCAATATATATTGATAGAATCTCTTGTATTTTGTTTCTTTATTTTGCTGTTCACTGTAAACTCATTTTATTGGGGTTTTGCTGTGGGGATTCAGTGAAGATTTTTATGTAATGATATTCTATGATGTTTTTGGCTACGTTTTGTTGCTGTACGATCTTTGTAACAATGTTAGTGACGAAATATTAATTGTAGAATATGTAACAGGTCGAATTTTTTTAGAAGATCTC